GGGTATTTAGCTTTCCTTCCACCTCGACAGAAGGGGGGAAAAGTCAACAAGAGCGGCTATCAAGTGTGTGCCATAGCCTCTTTTCCTTCTTCTCCAAGAAAACCATTACTACAAAGACAACTGAATCCAATAGACGGAGGACAAATTTAAGAACGGCAAACACAAAGAATCCGCCATGAAAAACCACCACGTCCTTCTTCTAGCCTACGCGGCTCAAGGACATTTAAACCCATCCCTACATCTCGCTAAGCGGATAATCGCCGCTGGTGGCCGAGTCACCTTCGCCACCACCGTCTACGGCCTCCGGCGAATTAAATCTCTCCCTTCCATCGACGGCTTATCTTACGCCTCCTTCTCCGACGGCTTCGACGATGGATACCGCCCCAAAGAGAGTTCTACCAGTGCCAACATCTCGGATTTCCGTACTGTTTCGAGACAATCCATCAACGATTTAATCCAAACCCTCTCCGATGAGGGCCGCCCTGTTTCTTTCTTGATCTACAACATCGTCCTTCCTTGGGCTGGTAGCCTCGCCGCCGCCATGTCCATACCTTCTGCTTTCTTATGTACGCACTCTGCAACTGTGTTCGCTATCTACTACCATTGTTTTAACACCCAAAATGGAGTTTACGTCAGGAACAAAGATTGTGATGAGAAGGTAAACGAGCCTCCGAGCTTAATAGAGATTGAGGGGTTACCTCCATTTTCTCGTCAAGAGCTACCTTCGTTTCTCCTCCCAAGTGATCCATACCATTCGCTTGTCTCCACCTTTGAAGAACACATCCGGGTATTAGAAGAAGACCCGAACCCATGTATCCTTCTCAACACCTTCGATGCTCTAGAACAAGATTCAATCAAGGGAATTCGATTTAACGGCGCCCGACTCTTCGCCATTGGACCACTGCGTCAGTCAGCTTCTCCGGACAACAAGAACCCTACACCTGCAGATAAGTTACTTCGCTGTGATTTATACGACAGTTCAAAGGAATATACTAACTGGTTAAGCTCAAAGCCTGACCGCTCGGTGGTATACGTATCTTTCGGCAGCCTTGCGACGCTGAAGAAAAATCAAATGGAAGAGATCTTTAATGGACTTTTGAGCAGCGGTCGGCCATTCTTGTGGGTGATTCGACCACCGAAAGACGGAGAAGAGGGATTTGAGGAAACGATAAAGGATAAGTTAAAAGAAGAAGAAGGGCTGATAGTACCGTGGTGTGCCCAAACGGATGTACTGGGACATACTTCAGTCGGCTGTTTCGTGACGCACGGCGGATGGAATTCGACGACGGAGGGGTTGACGTCGGGGGTTCCGATGGTGGTGTTTCCGCAGTTTTCAGATCAGATAACGAATGCGAAAATGGTGGAGGAGGTGTGGGGTTGTGGAATCAGGGTGAGAGTGAATGAAGAAGGATGTGTGGAGAGGGAGGAGATAAGGAGGTGCGTGGAGATGGTGATGGGAGAAACAGAGAGAGGCGCGACGGTGAGAATGAAAGCGGAGAAATGGCGAGCTTCGGCTCTTGCGGCGGTCGGAGACGGTGGCTCGTCTGAGGAGAATTTCGAAGCATTCATTGAAAGGTACTTGCCGAGTTAGGATAGGCTGCAAGTGTAGTCATTTTCTCCCCCTCGAAAGTCTTCTTGAAAGAAAGAACATTTCATCAAAATTGATAATGAATTTTTAAATAATGTAATAAATACAAATATATTTTATATTTAGTGGGATTATATTCTCACATGTCTTATTATTTTTATGCATTATACGTTTTTAAGTATAGGATGTAACACCACTTGGTGTTTTATGACCCAAGGCATTATTATACTCAAACTTCTTCTTCATGCAATAATCCAAACTAAATATTTTCTATGCATTACAATCATCAAGTAGTTTATCTAACAAAATTTTCACAACTGGGTTTACAATTTTACTATATTAAAGTAACAAGTGAAAAAGACTTGGAAAAAATTTGTATTTACTAAAGAGACAATAAATGAATGGATATCTCGCATA